CTTATTTTACCTCATCAGCAATTCCTGTTGTCTTTCCCAGTTTTTATAACTCTTTACAGATTTTTTCCTGGGCTAGATCCTGTTAGGGAAAAGAAAAGCTCCTACATTAGATTAGTATCTATTTTTTTTGTTGTTGTTGTGCCCTTAATTACATTGTATTTTTTATCATTTCTCCGCTTCCCTTTTGACTGTGATATTTTTAGTCCTTAGAAATGGCTTCCTATTCCTTGGGTTTTCTTCAAAGAACTTGAAACTATCCTGCTGTAGTTTTAGTGTCCTCTAGATGTTCATGTGAATCCCCATGGGCAGCCACAACAGCCCCATTTCACACATTTGAACACGGGGAAGAACATATGCCAATTACGCTCATGGGTTTAGAAATATTAGCCTGTTCTCATTTTCCCTTCATCTCTTGTGGACTCTTACAGATGCAATTCTGCACTTATGAGCTTTATACCTGTACTGTAGAAAAACTGGTGTACATGCTTTCAGATCAGTGTGTTGATCTTTTTATTTCCCCCCCAAAAAAACCATGTATATTTTAAAGGGAAGTGCACACAGGACCAGCCTGTGGTCCTACTAACTGCCAAAGCTGAGAAGTACAAATTTACACTCACAAGGCCACTGAAACCACCTTTTGGTGGGGATGTGAGGGGGAAATCAGGATCCAGTGGACATATTTTGCAATGTTTGCAGGATGGCATTTGCCAATGTAAACCTGACTTGCAAACACACGGAGCCTCTCACTATAAATGGTTTCTTTTTGCTATAAATGCTCCCTTTATTGAAAACCCTCTCTCTTCACCTTTTCATCTTGGACTATTTATACTACCCGACCATCCTTTTCCTTTTTGCAACACATTACTTCAGCTGCAGAAAAAAAAATGACAGGCAAAGAATATTATTCCAAGAATACTGGAATATTATGCCTTGTAATGAACTAGGTCCTTTCAAAACGTGCGGAGAGGTTTTCAGTTTTGTTATATATAAACTTGTGCTTTAACGGGCAAACGCAGAAACTTTCTGCTCACACTTCTGAGTTTGGAAAAGAATCAGACTTATTTGGGAGAGTAATCTGGCAAGAAATAAAGACAGAAACAAGACCGTGTGAGAGATGATTGCTGGCCAACTTCATAGTCCAACACAGGAAGCCTAAAAAGAGAAGCCTGAAAAAGCAAGATGCCCCTGATCCCTTCAGTCGCCTGTGTTGCTGTACGGACATTGCCTTTTCTTTCAGGACACCTTGGCAAGGACTGAGATCTGGCTTGGAGAAGCCTAAACGGACCCTAAATTGCCACAGATGGACTGCTCTTATAACCCACAGAACATTTCTCTCCTTATCATAATATTGAGTCCTGCGTGCCCTCAACTACTCTATGCTGGCAGCAAGGTAATAAAGAAAAAAGTGAATAATAAAGGAAACACGATCATCTCTCAGTCTGAATTTCTCATCCCTCAAATCAGAGCAATAACCACCAGTTCCGTGGCCTACACAAAGTCCTGCAGGTAGGACTGTGCAGTTTAAAATAACTTGCATGTAATTCTGCTTTTATTTTTCCAACAGATTTCTTGGTAACAGGTACAGTTCTCTGCATTGGACACTCCCTTTCGGAATGGTGAAAGTAATAAATACAGGTGTCGAAATGTAACCTCTTAAGAAAACATTGCTAGTCATTAATGACTATTGAGGCATACAGATTTCAGAGTGTGTGGATGCAGAATTCTCCTTCAGGCCTGGTTTTCCCAGCTTATGGATTTTAAGGTGTTTAGAGAAGCTATGCTGTCTTTTGAAAAAAAAAATCAGTGGCTGTATAACAGATAATAATATCTAGATATAGGAAATACAAGAACAGTTGTTTGCAGCCTCACCAGGATTAAGTATTACACCAAACATATTTCAAAATGCTGCTTCACGTCTGCCAAACAGGAATGTCAGAGACGCCGCTGCTTCTCAACTACTGTCCTCTGACTTCAAAGAGGAACTGTTAAGCCCTGGCTCTGTGCCCGAGCTTTTTTTTTTTCCCCCTGATATCATCGAAGGGTGTGATCATTAATCCCAGTTAAACAAGAAGTCAGCATGTTTCACAGAATCAACGGCCGAGCTGGGTTTCAGGAGAGAGGTGCCATGTCACTTACAAAGGTCACTTTGGCTGGGCTTCTCCTACTTTTCACCACCAATTTGGTACTGGCTTGAGGGCCATAAACACCCCTCCCTCCAGATTTTTCAGTATGGGGAGCCAACGTAGCAAATACCACAAGCAATACATTTTTACAGAGTAAAGAGTGCATTTATGTGTATTATAGTTATATATTTAGCATGTTTTCTTAGTGAAGTCAACTATTGCGAGGTTCTACACAAACTCCAACTTTAGATGTCTAGTAATAATAACATTTCTGAAGGTTGATACCAGGCCAGTTTAGGAGAGAGATGGAACACAGATGGCTGGCACAAACCATGCGTTCCCTGCAAAGAGCACACTTAACTAAAGAGGAAAGAACTGCAAAGTGGAAGTGGACGCCTTGGGACAAGTGTATCAGGTGACGTAACGCTACGAGGGTGAGTGTTTGTAGACGATTGCACAGTACATCGTGTGTGGCCAAGGGCAGTGCACAGGGCACCATCAGTAAACTACACACAGGAACAAAAACAACTGACAGAGCATGGAATCACAGAATTGTTGGAGTTGGAAGGGACCTCTAGAGATCATGTACTCCAACTCCTCCGCCAAAGCAGGGTTGCCCAGAGCACATCACTCAGAACTGCATCCAGGCAGGGCTTGAAGATCTCCAGAGAAGGGGACTCCACGACCTCCCTGGGCAGCCTGTTCCAGGGCTCTGGCACCCTCACTGTAAAGAAGTTCTTCCTCATATTTGAGTGAACTTCCCATGTCCCAGCTTGTGCCCATTGCCCTTTGTCCTGTCACTGGGAACCTCTGAAAAGAATCCGGCTCCACCATCCTTTAACCCACCCTTTAGATACTTATAAGCATTAATAAGGTCTCCCTTCCCTTCTTCAGGCTAAAGAGCCCCAGGTCTCTCAGCCTTTCCTCATAAGGGAGGTGCTCCAATCCCTCCATCATCTTTGTTGCCCTACGATGGACTCTCTCCAGTAGTTCCCTGTCTCTCTTGAACTGGGGAGCCCAGAACTGGACGGCACGGCACTTTCCAAGAGCGCCTACGTCATTACAGGAGACCAAATCCCACCGATGTTGAACAAGGCTTAGATCACGCCTCTGTCTCCACACCTGATTGTCTCAACCCTTTTTTACTTGACGCTGGGTCCCCAAATGACTGGGTTGGTTTGTGCAGAGATTGGTCGGGTCAATACCCACATTTGTGGTTGGAGTTTAAGGTGAGGGCTCTGTCTCGTGCCCCGTTTCACTGTGGAGACGTGTCCTTGAACTCCTTTGTTATGTGCTTCACCATTAAAGAAGTTGTAGGAATCTTCCATGGAATCTAATCTGCTGATTAGATCATGCTATTCCTGACAGATATTATGGAAGAAATCGGATATTTGCACAAAAAGCAACTCAGCAGACATATGGGAATAAAGAAATGCCAGCTATTCCGTAAAGCTTTACCTGTTTTGCCTAATTTTGCAGAGAGATATGGAAAAAACCGAAAGGTTAAAAGGAAGGGCAACCAATACCAGCAGCTTAGTTCTTAAACTCAGTTATGAATGGAAAGCCATGAAAACTATGGAAAGCCATGAAAACTATTTATTGCAAAACAGGAACTCGCAGGTCTGATAATGTTGCCCCTCATAAGTGTGAAATTCTAGAACAGACGTCCCACAGGAAAGCTACTGCAGGAAAGGACTTAATAGAGGGCATGAATGAAATACTGTGCTTCAAGGAGTAAGGGAATGAACCCGGCCTCCCAGGACTGGTTTGGTTTTTTTTTTTTTTTTTAAATATAAGACTCTGTTTGAAGGGGAAAATTAATTTCCAGTCAGAAGGACCAGAATCGGTGATGATTTAGGGGAATGTTTGCTTTTTCCCCGTGCGGTTGAGCAATGATTCAAAGGGACTGAAATTAACAGGAACAACTCGTGTGTGTTTAAGAAGTGATTAGGGAATAAAACTTAACAACCAATAAAGGCAGTTTGGTATGGGAGATGGGTATGTGTAATGCAACACGGTATCTCGTGACTAAAATTAATGTTAAAAAATCTGAGTTTTCTGTTTGTACTGATGTCAGGTGCTCATTAGATAAGAAAAAATTATCTTTTTTTTCCTCAATAAGCTGCTCCACGGTTGTAGAATTTTTTAGGCTTTCACCCATCGATAGTGAGGGTAGTAAGTAATGATCCTGTAGAACAGAAGGGACGGAGCTGGGCTCCCTTGCTTATTCAGTGCTTCCTTATCCTCACTGAGGGCCCCCATCCATGGGGGTGAGGAGGAACCACAGCATCATGGAATGGCTGGGATTGGAAGGGATTTCTGGAGATCACCTTGTCCAAATCACCCACTCAAGCAGAGCCACTCAGAGCAAGTTCCCCAGGACGGAGTTCGGACGAGTATCTCCAGCGATGGAGACTCCATAACCTCCCTGGGCAGCCTGTGCCAGGGCATAGTCACTCTCATGGTAAAGAACTTTCCTGATGTTCAGAGGGAACCTCCCGTGTCTCAGATTGTGTCCATTGCCTCTGGTCTTGTCACTGGGCACCTCTGAGAAGAGCCAGGCTCTGTCCTTTTTGCATCTTCCCTTCAGGTATTCATACTCGTGGATGAGATCCCTCTGAGCCTGCTCTTCCCCGGGCTGAAAGCCCTGGCTCTCTCTGCCTCTCCTCAGGGGGGAGATGCTCCAGTCTCTTAACCTGACCCTTCGCTGGACTCTCTCCAATTGTGTCCACGTCTCTCCTGTACCAGAGAGCCCAGAACTGGTCCCAGCACCCCAGGTGTGGCCTCACTGGCGCCCAGGAGAGGGACAGGACCACCCTCCTTGACCCACCTAACGCAGCCCAAGGTATGGTTCACCTTCTTTGCCGTAGGGGCATGATGGCTGGCTCTCGCCCAACCTGGTGCCCACCAGGACCCCCAGGTCCCTTTCTTGCCAGCCTGGTGCCCCCCTCAAACCTGGGTTGGGGGTTGTTCCTCTCCGGGAAGGGGGTGGTGGAGGGGGGGGCAAGGTTTTGCCCTTCCCTCTGTGGAAGCTGCTGTCCCCTGGTGCCCCCCAAACCCCGCAGCGGGGCAGCAGCTGGGGTGTTACCCCACACTCCACCCTCTTACCCAACACACCACTCCCTTACCCCACACACCACATTACCCCACACACCCTCCCCGCCCCGGGAGGAGGCTCCGGAGTGGGGCTACGAGGAAGGTGAGGAAACTTTCCCCCGCGGCCCGGGGGAGGATTTCAGCGGCGGGGCGGAGGGAAAATCGACCCCCCCCACCCACCCACCCACGGCGGGAGCGGGGAGGCGGGAGAGCGGCGGCCGGTGTCGGGGAGCAGCCCCATGTCCCGTCCCCCCCCCTTCTTCCCCGCGGCGG